ATCGATGCATCGATACAAAACGATTATTATTTACACCCCTAGTTAGAACAGCCGCTTCCCTCCGACTTTAAAGCACAGATTACAACAATAAAGGCTTTTACCTTATTAATATCTTTTTACGTTTCATGAAACATGATACATAAACATATGGACTCCATTCCTTAACTGGACTCCAGATTTTAACTGGACATCCTATAAATAAATAGATAAAATAAGATAAGAAAATAATATTAACTGATATAAAGTCAGTTGCTTCACACATACTAAAGTGCAGGAAAAGTTTAGCAAACAAATATCTTCTTTCAACCAGTTGAAATGTTTATTGGTAAATAAAACTCTCAATTGAACAAAAAAATAAATGAGTATGAACTGGTAGTTTGAATTGTAGCCATGCATCATACGTGGCCTTGTGGAGGTTTGTCCTGCATAATACCTGATATTTCGCATCATCTTCTTTTTTAAACCAAAAGTAATTCCAGACAAGTGGCGTATGGGAAAATCAGACTGAAAAGGGGAAAAACCTGTGCAGTGTACGCCCGGCTTTATTTGTGTGTGTGCAGTATTTTTAAATTTGCAGGGCTAATAAAACATTTGTCATTGAGGGAACAGGAAAATGTTTGTTGGATGTTCTGTGTAACCTCCTGCACTCCTGTTTGGACCGTTTCACCTGAACCTGCTTCTGTTTTCAGGCGGTTAGAAACCTTGTTGCTGCTGTGCTGAAGGAAAAAGACTCGAACGAGCAAATCAGTCAGTCGTCCACGCAGGTGAGTTTGTTTTAAACCACGCCGAACAGAAAACTTCTCATTCGGTTAAGTTGGGGTTAAATCCAACCAGGCTTTTATATTTCATAGGGTTTACACCTTAATGTTTCACATCTTTGTGCAGTGGTAGGGGGCGTCCTTGGGAAAACTCTCTGAAACGCTATTGCCTGCATTTTGAGATGGAATGCAGCCAACTTTTCACTACTTTTGATTATGGGAGTTATGGGTACGGAAGAGGGCCGCTGGGGAAAAAAAAGTTAACTGATTTTAAAATATTATTTTGTTAAAAATGGGAAAAAAGTCAGAATTCTGACTTTCATCTCAGAATTTTGGGTCTTAATCTTAAAGGGCAGCCTGAAGGAAGAGATGTGGAGCACTCAGCTTCACTAAGAAAGATGTGATTTGTTTGGGAGGGACAGTAACACATTGGTGGGAAATGATGGAATTAGGCGACTTTTTACGTCCCTGAGGGCCACTGGTGATTCTATTTCTATAATGGAGTCAGAATTCCAAGATTATAGTCAGAATTCTGAGAAAAAGTCAGAATTCCAAAATTAAAGTCAGAATGCTGAGATTAAAGTCAGAATTCCAAGATTATAGTCAGAATTATGAGAAAAGTCAGAATTCCAAGATTAAAGTCAGAATTCTGAGAAAAAGTCAGAATTCCAAGATTATAGTCAGAATTCCAAAATTATAGTCAGAATTCTGAGAAAAAAAAAATCAGAATTCCAAGATTATAGTCAGAATTCTGAGAAAAAGTCAGAATTCCAAGATTAAAGTCAGAATTCTGAGAAAAAAAATCAGAATTCCAAGATTAAAGTCAGAATTCTGAGTAAAAGTCAGAATTCCAAGATTAAAGTCAGAATTCTGAGTAAAAGTCAGAATTCCAAGATTAAAGTCAGAATTCTGAGTAAAAGTCAGAATTCC